CTATCCACAAATGCACTGAGGCTGTTTTCATGCCAGATGTTTTTGGTTTTTTCCCAAGACCTGATTCCTTTTATTTGAAAGTCCTGTTTGGTAAAGGTTTGGCATTTATGCTGTAGCATTCCCTCCTTGCTCATCCCTTTGAAGAGATCTTCCATGTTTTTCTTTTTATTGGTTCTTGAAGCTTGCTTGGGGAAAAAAACAGGTGTCTGAGAGCGAGAGAGAACAAATCTTGAGTTTAATGCAGGAGAGGCTGTTTTGTCTTTGTGGATTTGATTCAACTTGGCTCCTTGCTTTGATGTTTTGGCTGCTATTGTTGTAAAGCTTCCTTCTATCTGCAAATAACTGATTAAGTTTAGAACTGCATACCTGTAGTATTCATAACATTGATCTGTGGTTCCAGTAAATCTGGAAGTAGAATTTAGGGAGGTAAAATTTATTTGGCAATAGTCTATATTGACTTACTACAATCTTTTTGTTAAGTGTCAGATTTGTTTGTTTATAATATAAAGACTTTGCACTACATTCCAGCTTTTGAGTGGGCAGTTTCTACTTAAGGCCACCACCCATTAGCTGAGATTAATCAGTTTAATAATAGTCAGCTGCAGTTTTAATAAAGTTTTTTACAAAAATTGCCTACTCGGCTCCTAAGAGGTGTGGGGGAGTTACTAGACAAACAGCAATTTATATTTGCCTTGGAATATTATTGAGAACATACTCTGCTGTCAAAGTGGTAGATAGGCAGATATTGTAGGATATGCTATTTTCTTTTAAATTGCTATTTGCTGATCTTTAGTTAATGCAGTTTTCACATTTCTTAGGAGCCAACCAAATTAATATACTGATATATTTATTTTTAAATTCCAGGTTTAAATTATGTTGCAGCTATTTGGTTAATTTTCTCCTCTGGACAGCATTGCCTGACTTCTGCAGTCTTTTGTGCAAAGATGATATCGCTTGGCTTGTATCTCAGTGCATTAATTTGATTCCTCTGTAGCAGTGTGGAAGATTTTCTGCTCGTGTTCCTGGATGAAAAGGAAACTTTTTGCTTAAGCGAGAGCTCAAACATGGATGCTTCTGGGGAGAAGTTGAAAGGACCATGAGTAAATTTGTGACTCATCTTTCTGAAAAGACCATTCCTTTCTGCTTTTTCGTTGATGTTGCCTTTAACTTTTGTTTGTTTATCTCAGTGTCATTATTGAGCAGTGTAAGACGATTTTTGTAACTGTGGACTTTCATTCACTGGCTTATTATTTATAGAGAATTTTAAAAATTGTGAAGCTGCTTTGTTTGCTCAATATTTTTTCTTTAGCTGTTAATTGAGAGCTCTGTTCTACAGTAAGTACATGACTTATAGAGAATTTAAGAGATATAGTCCATATGTCCAATTTAATCCAAGGGATCAGTGTTTATGTGAGAGTTTATAGTGTTTTAATTTTGAATACACACCTACAAATAATCTGTAAAATTTTTTTTTAGGCATCCAACTTTGATAATTTGTAAGCCAGTTTTCAAAAAATGCTTTGGTACTACTTGAAAGTATTTTTTTTTAATCCTTCATACTGTATGCTTCATTCTAAGATTGTGCATCATATAACTGCTGACCAAAACTGGCAGTGAACAAACTGACATTGTGAAGCTGTCTCAGTGTTCAAAAGAGTAGGAACATACTACTACTTTTTTTTTTTTTTTTTTAATATTCCAGTAAATGTGGACTGATAGCTCACTACATTAGGTTTTCCATTCCTTATCTAGGAGACCATTAATGCATCCATGAGTTGTTTCATAGATGTCAGTGATGGTGGAGGAGCTGGACTGATGTAAAGGTTCACAGAGTGATGAGGATAACTAGTGGGTTTCAGGTTTTTTCATACAAGGTATTTACTCCATTTGGGTTGTTCTGTGTGTGTTGAATGTGTGTTCCTCATACAGGAAGGGAACAAATCCTTTTTTCCTTGAGGGTCTATGGGATAATTCCACAAAGCTGCCTTTGCACTGTTTCTAGAATTGGATGAAGAAGAGGAATTGAGGAAAGGAAGTGTTTTTTGCACTCGGTCAGTGGTGAAATGCTTCCAGTAAAGCATGGGGGGAGAATAGCATATCAAATGTACGCACTTTTTTCCATTCCAGTTTCATATTAGTATTAATTAGAGAATTTATTTTGACCAGTTGGATCCTTTTTTGTTTGAACAAAACATTTGGAAAGCCATCCTCTCTGGTTACATGTTTAGAAACATAAGTAATGTGGTGTTCCTTAATGTTAATGAAACTTTAGCAGCAAATGAGAGCTTTGTGGACTAAAGAGCCTAAGTAGGACAGCAAAGGCTTTGTTCTGCTGTGCGCTGAAGGAAGTCAGTTCTTCTTAATGGTATTGGATGTTGGCTCCATGCCAAAAGCACCTTTTGGAAACTTCTTTTGGATGGTAGGTTAATACTGTCAGAGTAATTACAAAAATGAGTGGAATATAAAAAAGAAAGGCTTCTTGAGATTGGTGTGTTTTTATGCATATATGCAACAGTGGTTTGGCACTACGGTACAGTAACTGTCTCCCTCTTCCCACTCACCAACAATGCATATGCAGCTCTTCTAAAAGCAATAGCAGGAGTGTCACTTTATTTGACCAAAGATATTTAGCGTGGAAATGTCCAGTTGGTGTAAAGTGGGTGCATCAGAACAAGAAGAGATACAGACCATTGTTTCCCAAATATATTAAAATCTCATCTTTAGTCTGTCTCCCATCTCTTGGCTCTTGATATGGTTCTCTGGTGAAACAGATCAGGGAAAGTGGTTGTGTTTTATGAAGAGTGTAATGCAGAGGCAGGAGCACATGGCTGATAGTGGAACAGAGACTGCTTTGCCTTGGCAGTACTTTGTGATAGTTCCACTGGACTGGCCCTTGGCTAGCAGCCAACACAGCCATCTGCCCACTTCCCCCTCACCCCCAAGGGATAGGGAAGAGGACTGGGGGCAAGGCTAAGGAGGCTTGTAGGTTGAGATAAGAACAGTTTAATAATAGAAATAAAAGAAAACTTAAAATAGTACTAATATTAAAATAGTAGTGCTAATGATAACAGTAACAAAACATGCAAATGGGTGATACCCAGTGAAACTGCTCACCACCAACAGACCAAGCCCGGCCCGTTCCCAGATAACGATCCCGGAGGAGCGACAATCCCGAACTGAAACTGCAATCCTGGAAAAACGAGAGCCAGAGTGAAAGCCAGAGAGAGGATAAAAGAGGAAGAGATCCTCACTAATATACTGGACATGACGTGATATGATATGGAATATCCCATTGGCATAATTTAAATATTCCTCACCCCCTTAGATCTTGCACTTGTAGATCTACAGAACATGAAGTCCTTCACTTCCAGTGAGGGCAATGCAAACACTGGTGTGTTATCAGTGTCTCTCTCATAAAAAGTCCCAGGCTGAAAAGCAAAATACAGCTCTATTCTAACTCAGCACTATTCTAGCTACTGAAAAAGAAACTCAGCTCTGTTCCAGCAAAAATCCAGGACATACTTGCCATCAGATTGAAGTGTTGAAGGCACTGATGGCCATGGTTGTTACTCCGTGGTGTAGTATACTCAGAGACGCAAGGCAGGATTTGAGAGCAACCTTAATCCCATCATGTTCTTTTTTATTATTCTTGTTGGTTGTGTATAGTTGTGTTTTCTTGGTATTTCTTTTAGTGGGCACATTTTCCTTGAGTCTTAAACCCTGCAGCATTTTATGTCATTTTTTGATTTAACTTCAGATAATCCTACTGCATGTTGAAATTGAACTTAAATTGCTAATACTAAAGATCAACATAATTCATTAGGTTCCAGCAAGTTACTGAATCTGCAAGACACAGCTTCTGATAAACACCCCCCACAGTTTTTTGTGTAAATTAAATAAACTTTGCTTAATGCTTTCTGTAGCTTTTTTTTTTTCTTTTTCTACTTTTTATTTTTTAAATTTACCGTGAAGTGTATTTGGATCCAGCATGTACAGGGGACAAACTTTGATGTTGCAAATGCTTGTCTTTTTGGATTACTAAGTAACTGTTAAGAAAAATTTACTGTAAATGCTGTCATAAGCTGAAAATCCTCATTTTTTTCCACTGTGGCAGTTTTTTTAGCATAAAATACAAATCTGTGCTAGTCTGAAAATATTTGCTAGACTGTATTTTGTACACTTATTTCTTCCTGCCTTAACCCCCATATTTTCACTTGTTTTTTGAATTTTCAACTTGTCCTAATTAGTGTCCTCCACCTGTTGATCAGTGCAGAATACAGAAAGATTGGTTTTGAAGGTGATTTAATGTGTTAAAAAATACCCCAACTTTTTTTGGAAGTGCGGTTTCTTTTTGACTGTTTCCCTTCTTTGTTTTGTGCCTTTGCTTTGCCGTAACTTTTGTAAGGGGTGAGGTCAAGTTTGCTTTCTTTGGAATCTCTTGCTAGAACTGATCATGAACTGTTTGTATAGATTTGCTTCAATAAATGTTTTTCGTATGCAGACTACACCCAACTTAGTCATGCAGCTGTAATTTATGTTATTTTTCTTTCAGTGGGTAATTGTGAGACTGGGAGTAACTTTTTGTATCCAATGAAATTACAGCTTCTGGTGTTTTATTACTCCCAAACGCATCTCTTGTTGAACAGTGTCTTATGTACCTATTAAGGTGGTCTTTGGTTATGTCTTCATTATCTTAGTGGAAAAGATCCACTTCTAAATTAAAGGGTTTTTAGGGGAAAAAAAAGACACATTTGTGTTGTGAAAGTGATCAAAGACTGCACACAACTTAAAATGCAAGCATTTAGTGCTGTTTCTACAGAACGAGGTAGGTCTGTGCCTGCACGTACAGATTGCACGACTGATTTGTAGCTTCAATAACTTCTATCCAAGTAGCAAGCATTCCCTCACAGCACAGCTCATAAGTAAATTATATGTTGGTTCTGGTGCTGCTGTAATTCTTAACTAATTCTAAGTATTTTTCTTTCCTTTTGTTTTTAAAGGATCAGTTTGATAACTTGGACAAGCATACGCAGTGGGGCATTGACTTCTTGGAGAAATACGCAAAATTTGTAAAAGAAAGGATAGAGATTGAGCAAAACTATGCGAAACAACTGAGGTAGGTATTTTTTATTTTTAAAAGAATCTTAACAGTTACTTAAAATCACTGCATCAGATGGTGGGCAAGCATGTAATGTTGTGATTAATGACCATTTTTAATTTACAGAGTGAATTAGATCACTAGTTCTTTTCATGACAGACAAGTTTTTCTTTACCAGTCCAAAACAGAAAATTATCTTTGGATTTGCGCTTACTTGCTTGCTTGTTTTTGCATTCTTCAAATCTTTAAACTAAAAAGGTTTAAGACTTAAATTTTAAGATTCAATAGAAAACGAAACCATAGTAATATTTTTTCCCACTGACTATGAGCATGTTTGTTGCAAGGTGTATGTATTATCCATATCTACATTTTTGTGTATGTGTTTTCAACCCACCTCAAGCCTCTGCTACTAATTAATTTCTCATGTTGAATTGGCAAGAACTGTGCTGCATTGTGTTAAGAAATCTGATTGAAATCATTGAGTAGGACTTGATAAAACAATAGATCTTCCATCCTCAAAGCGTGCCCTTTCCATAGCTGGTCTTGTCCACTTGAGCGAGACTGTAACCCAACCACCCTTTGTCTTACCCTCTCCAGTTTACGTTCTGTTGGTGCCAAGTGAAACATCTTTTAGGTCCCATAGGAATGTCCTCTTAGAGATCGTACGAGGATTGTGCAAGAAGAGTAGCAGCAATGGAATGGCAGAGAAGCACATTCTTCAGAATAAAAGAGGATTGATTTTTACCAAAAGCAGTTCTTGAAGAACAAGTTTTAAAATAAAACATTCCTGTGAACTTGGCTTTCACTGTAATCTTTCCTGTCTTGAATTCCTTTGGGGATTCAACTGAGGCTGCTACCTAGCCCTTGTCAGACTGAAACCGATAGCAGCTTCTCTCCTGTGGTGTCTTCCATCCTCTCACTGTTGGCAAACTAGATTGTCATCAGATAACAGTGTTGAGGAATGCTTCCTCATAAATGCAGTAATGAGGTTCACAGTTGAGGGTATGGATGTTCTCCCTCTAGGCTGCTCATTTCCTTTTTGATTTATCAGTTTCTTTTGATCCACTTGTGTGTATTCACCTAACTTAATAACCCATTACTTTACTGAAGGATTTTTTTTCTTAAAAGGAGGAAATAAATACCACTTTTCCAAAGCTGGCATAGAAGAACTTCAGGAGGTAAAGGAAAGTTTGAAGCATGCACAGCACCAGTTCACAGCCCAGTTTTGATTTGTTTTCAGTTGTCTGTTTAAAAATGGAAATGTGTTTTATTTGCATGGATCTATACAAGATCTTTTCCTTCAGTAGTATGAACAAATGCCATTTTGCTTAATTATGTTTAAAGATTCATTACACAGCTAGCAAGATGAGACGCCACATTATTACTCCAGGGTTTGACTAAAACCAGGAAATCTCTGTTCAGCATTTACTCTTTTGGGTAAAACTTGATTTTTCTCAAAGTGTCTTTCAAAATTGAAAGAGTTACGTCAAGTACCACTTCTGTCAGATGACTGGATTGACTGTCCGTGTACAGTAAGTGTGACAGTTTTGGGGAGCACAGGTCTTGCTTCACACACATTGTACAGTGCATGCGTGCACTTCCTGCCTGCTGCCAGCGAGGGTCTGGACAGCACACACACACACACACACACACACACAAGAGGGTGACTGATTTTCTGCCAGTAGACCCGTTCATGAAGCCACTCTTTGATACTCTTGCCTGTGTACTCCTTGGGGGAGAATTGATTGTTAGCAGAGAATGGTCTTGTGATAACAACTTCATTTCAGCCATCATTGCTCTTGAGGACGCTCGCTGTTTTTAACCATGTAAAACAGTCATGAGGGCCCAGGGGAGATTGAGATCAAGCAAAATATTCATGTCTAGAGGAGTAAGCCACCCTGCAGCTTGCTCCTGAGAAGTTCTGCGGAAGATCTTAGGGATGGACTATGGTTCTGGTGAATTTTAATGCTGGCGGCATATGGGCTATGAGATAGATATTAACATCTCTGATAGAAATTTCTAATTTATCACTTTTTCCTTTTGTAATGAAATACCATCTGTAAAATAGAGTTTTGAGAGTATCTTCATAATGAACTTCATAACTGAGATGTATTATGCCTTTGGTTATTGCTGTATAAACAGTACTACCTTTTGGTAGTTATATGGCTCACTTAGTACTTGGATGGGAGACAAAGAAAAAACAAGTTTAATGAGGGAGATAATGTTGGTGATGTATGGTGGTATTGCTTTTCTGTCTTGTTTCTGGTGTGGGCCATGAACACTCTGTTGAGATTGTTGATGGATCTCCTTATCGTAGACTCTAAACTCAAGGATGAAATCTTGAGTGAATTTTTCATAAGTTTTCACAAATAAGAGTTCATGTCCTGGCAGAAATTCATATTCACTTTGTGTATACCCTTGCATTTTGATTTTTTTTTTTTTTTTAATACTGTCACAACTTAGTGATGAGACTTTACCAGGTGCAGCAGCTGTTCTGAGCCTTCTAGGAGATGACGAGTGATGCATGTACATCTAGACTGTTCGAGTGAACTCACTATATTCTTACTGTATGCTGTTATTGCAGTGTATAGTCACTGAGTAATTCCAGAAATGAGAACTTGCGAGAATCCTGTCCAAATGCTGGTTTTAGGTTGCAAGTCATTCCTTGCTATTCTTTGATAGGCAATTCTTGATACCGAGAAAAAGTGTAAGAAAAAATTGAAACAGTTGAGAAATCCTCAGATGTCTAGAGAGGGACAAAAAAATGTCTAGAGAGCTTGTCTTTGTCTGCAACATACTTTGTTCTGAAAAAGAGCAACTATAATTTCATTTTTTTGAGCTAACTTAAAGGAAAATCTTAAGTTTTTTGTAGCTTAGGTCTCAACTAACATATTGTGGTACCCCAAGGATTGTGAAGGTGGTTATACACTGCTACTGAGTTACAGGGATGTGAATCGGGACAAACATATTGCAATATACATTGTAGATTAACAGATTTAATTTTAATTCTATTACTTTAATTTGTTCTTATTTTATATTTGGAGAAAAATAGATTTAGTATGTGCCAAACTACTGGACTCTTGGCTGAATATTGTAATTGAATTCTCAGATGCTGTTTTTGATCAGCATTGTTGCTTAAAAGGGGTGAGGTGAAGGTCTGTTCTGTTTACTTCCACGTTATCACACACAAAATAATTCTGGAGGTTCACTCCCTTTTTGTTCTGTCTGAAGCATTATGACACATGAGAAGACAGAGGAGTTCCACTTCCTGTGATGTTAGGCAGTAATACAAGTTACACCTGCAGTTACAGATGAAACTACCATGTGGAATAAGACTTCTGAATTTGGTCAGTTTAAAGAAAATAGCAATGATTGTTCTTGAACTCTTTGGGTGTTTCCCTTTAAAATTGTATGTTGTCATCTCGGAGACATCTAGTTAATCTGAGCAAACGTATTTTTCATGTTCCTTCTGCATACTACTGTGTATGCATTGGCTTTTTTCTAAATACAATATTAATTTATGCATATGCCTAGTCAAATTGAGACATATTTACCACATTTTTATATGCAGAATCTTGGGAACATTATTTAAAATGGGTGTAAGCCCACATGTGAAGTTCGGGGGACAAATTGTCACCATATGTGTTAATATCTCAAATCTTTCTTCCCTCGATTGAAGGTATTGCTTTACGTATAAATACGAAATGCCTTTAAGTACTTAATGCATTTTTTTAGTAACTTAGGAAAACAGACTTCAACGTTTGTTACTTGCAAGATTTTGATGAAGTGGTTCTAATGTTTGGAAAATATGAGAATTTTTGTGAGGATGGACATTGGTATTTAAATACTGATCTGTTTAATTTGAGTAGTAGATCTCTCTTTAAATACTGCTTGCTGCTTTTAAAAATACACAGCAACTGTGATTTTCACTTTTTTGACCTCAGAAAGTACAAAGGTTGAGGGTAAGGAATTTGAGAAAAGTCCTGTGTCTGTACAAATCCTGTTTTGTACAAAAAAAGTTTCTTTATTTGCTGTAAAATTACAAATTCTCAGAGAGAAAGGAAAAGAACTGTAGTAGAGTTATCATTTCAATTTTTCTGTTTCATGATAAAACCTGACAATTTTGAAAATTGCTGGAATAAAAAATGCAACCAGTTGAAGGTATGAACATCCAGCATGTATCCTGACAACATGTTTCCTTCTGAGTTTCAAGAATTTTAAAAGATCTCCTTGCTGTCAGAAAAACAGTATTGTAAGTTAAGGCAGAATGCTGCGCTGGAAAAAATGCTTACTTGGAAGTTTAAAGCAAAGGTTGACAGACAGCAAGATAAAAATTTGAAAAATGACTGGACATGCTCTCCTTTTACCTCTCCTGTCTGTAAAATTGTGTGACTTCATTTTGTGTTCATTACAAGATTTGGAATATTTGTAGCAATATATGTAACTGCAAATACTATGTAAAGTGCTGGTCTCATGGATTGTCTTTTAGAGATTTTCTTGGTTTCTAAAAACCTGGTGGTGGGGCAGAATGTAACATCTTCCCTGAAAAGAGATGTTGTCTCTTTTGGCAATATCTGGAAATACCCTTACTGAAGGTGGGAGATCCTGTGGTTAAAATCTTCAACCCGAATGTGCACTCAAAGCTTCATTCAGGCACGGAGTTTTGTGCTCATGGGTGTGGCATACAGTGTACAATATCTGTATTTTACACAGTGATCATACATTTGCTTTCTTCTTGTCTACTAGTTTCCTTTGCATTTGTGAAAAGGATGTTAAATAAATAATTCATTATTTTGTGTCTGGTCACTGTGCAATAGAGGTTTTTAAATACTTAGAAATTTATTGTTCTAGGTCAAAGTGACTTAAAACTTTGAAAATGCCATAGATTTCTGCCTTGTGTTATCTAAGGACCCTTATAAGATGACAGAGGGTATAGATTTCTTCCTTGAAGTCATTAAAAATAAATAATTAGTTCATGCAGTTACCTGTGTGTATGTCTTATTCAAAGAGACTCTAAAATAGCATCTTTTTTTTTGTTCTTCTTTAATAGAAATCTGGTTAAGAAGTACTGTCCTAAACGTTCACCCAAAGATGAGGAACCCAGGTAAAAATCTGCATTTCAAGTTCTGTGTATAAGAAATGAGGACTACAGTACACTGTCCTTTTATAGATTTTTTTTTTTTAATTATTTTTTTACCTTTTTTTTTTTAAGATAAAGCATTTATTTGGCTAAGACAACAAAAGAATTCTGCTTGGCTTCTTATAGGTCTGCTGTAATTCTTAAGCATGAAACCTGAGTTTACTTCTATTACTATTTTGAAGTAGTAAACATGGCAGGTTGTACTTGCTTCATTTGAAATTAATCTTTAGCTAGCTGAAAGTTTGAAGGCAGAAGTTCAGTATGCTATGTACAGTCTATTTTTTATAGAAAAGCAATTATGTGTCCTTAGGCTTTGTTTTTTGCTTAGTTTAGTAGGGTTTTTCAGTGCATTTGAATGAAAATACAAATGTAGCTATACATTTGGTTACACAAAATTGTCACCTTTTTGGCAAGAAGAGCTCTTAAACTGCTGGCCTGCTTAAACTCTGGAGACAAAATAAGTGAATGTCTAACTCTGGAGGAGCAATTTGTGCTAAACAACTTTGTGATTATTTATCAGAGAGGTGCTTGTTTTCCTGTCCCTGTCTATAGCCATTTTTTCATTTATCTAGAAAATCACAATACTTTTTTCTTTAGGGATATCTTATGAGGGAAAGAAAGTGGGCAAGTTTGAGGCTACAGCCAGAGCACGTGCTGTGCACACAGTGTCTGAGAATTCTCACTAGGATTTCCTCTAGCTCTTTTGACTATTTAAAGATCCTGGGACCACAGGGAATGGGATTTCTAGTGCTAGGGTGGCATTCGAATTTCCCAGAGCCAAGCCTATGGAGATGGCAGGATTCCACAGTTAAACAGGAGAAAGATGTATATTTTAATGTGGTGCCTGTTTTTTTTTTTTCTTTCTTCCCTTCCACACACACTTTCTACCCTTTGCCCCTCCTCTTCCCCCCCTTTTTAGTGCCAGCCATAGTGGCACCTTACTTCCAGCCAAGAGGTGGGCAGGCAAACAGGCAGCTGTCTCCAGAGCTGATAGCAAACTTGTTCTGTAGATCATCCATCGGGATGCATATGAGTGGTATGATTGGCATGTTCCACCCTCAAGACTACCAAGCACATCATCTCTGCAGCAAGTTCAGCCTCCGAGCCTAGGGACGTATGTATCCGTTCCCAAGCTCAGGCCCCTCAGTGGGCAGCTTAGGAGATACCACTATACTACAGGGCTTTCCAGGTAGTATTCTTCTTCTTTCTTTTCCATCCACAAAAATCCATATTCTTATAAAATGTATTTGAAGAGACATTGCAGCATATAGTACATGCTAGGCTTGATGTAGGCTTTCCCAACTTGCATTTCTACTGTAATTCAATTAGCATTAAGATGAGGTTTATTGTAAAATATGTTGTTTTTTTAATTTAATCAGGAGTACAGACTATACTGAAAGAAGTCCAGTTAAAGAAACTGTCTCACTTTTTGTATCTATATGTTTGTGTGTGTGTGTGCTTTCTGTCAGGTTTACTTCGTGTATTGCCTTTTTTAACATCCTTAATGAGTTGAATGACTATGCAGGACAACGAGAAGTAGTTGCAGAAGAAATGGGACACAGAGTGTATGGAGAATTGATGAGATATTCTCATGATCTAAAAACTGAGAGAAAAATGGTAATTTCTATATTGACTTGATAATGGGAAATGGGTATGTCTTTCAACAAATTGATATATTTGTTTACCTAATTTAATGAACTTGTCAATAAGTAGGTTTTGTAATACATTTATAAAACACATTTAAAGTCATTCTGTATTTTTAAGTACTGGTTTACTACAGTTATTAAACTTAAAAATTAAGATCTTGGGAGATAGTGCTTACTAGAAATTTTTTGTATAATGTTATTTTCATCTGTGGTACTGTTCTTATATGATCAGTAATATCTTCCAAAGAGTACTGGTCACTTGCGGGAGATAACACACATCGACTAGAGCAGGGACTAACTAATGGTAACAGTATTAAAAAGATATGGAAATTAAACTTACTTGTGGTATTTTTAGCATCTTCAAGAAGGACGAAAGGCTCAACAGTATTTGGACATGTGCTGGAAACAGATGGATAATGTGAGTTTTTGTTTGGTTGTTTGTTTTTTTCCTATCAAACATAATAATATACAGCCTGTAAATTGAACTGTTGTCATCTTACTTGCTTAGACTTTAGTGTTTAGCTGTATTACTGAATGTCCAGGTCACAGTAACATCCAAAATACAGTTCAATGTATTTGTCGTTTCCTGCTTAAAAAAAACCTCTTGTAAGCAGCTTCTGTGTGTATGTTTGAGTGAAGCCTTGGCTTTTATCCAGCAGAAAGGAATCTCGTTTTAACATCGGTGTAGACTTCTTCGCTTCTCCACAGGCTACTTTTTGTTTATAGGATAATTAATAATGACAGTTTATTTATGTGAAGAGGAAATCTTAAGTCACTGTATTTGACTTGAGTTTGAGGGCTTGTTACCTGAGGTTTATTCAAGAATATCACTATAGGCTGTTACACTTTCAGGAGGTAGAATTGCTTCTTAACAGAGAAATGCAGGAAGTTAATTTTTCTAGAACAGATGATAAGCTCCTTTTCTTTGAAACATGCTTTTAAAGATGAGAAAATACAAAATTCAACAAGTGTGTTCAAGATGCATTTTGATATTGTGCTGGTTTTGTGTCTTAGAAATTAGTTATATCTTTGCTCCAGATTATTGTGAAGCAATACCAGAGGTGAATTTCTGTTTTGTTGTTGTGGACCCAGATAAATAATGTCTTGCTTCAGTGCTATGTCAAAGAGTTTAATTCATGGTCAGAGGATCAGAGTAGAAGCAGATGTGGTAGTTTTAGAGGCTGTCACCAAGACAATTCCCAGAGTTCACCTCAATCAGTTGTGTGGTGTGCACTGTATTTACTTGGGTGCAGAGTCAGTCTTTTAAATGCATGCAGCCTCTAAGGACACGTTAACCTCAAAACAGTGCTGCTCACACAGTCTCTGTTGCCAGTTTCTCTCTGGAGATACTAACTTCTCGAGCTGCAACAGTTTTTCTTACAGCAGTAGTCTTGACAACAGCCAGATATATTGAACATCAAGTACGTTGAATGCTGTTGTCTGGGCTGCTTACGGCTACACCAGTTGTTAAGAATGCTGATGATAATGGATGGGTATGCTAACATCTCGTAACATAGATAAATCCTTCAGACAACCTTCAAAATAATTTAGTTGAATTTATTCAATTAAAAGTGATTATTGAAGAAGAGAACTTGAAAATTTTACTCATACAAGTCCAGGTTTAAATTTTTTGCCCCCTAACTTTTATTTAGGTTATTGAAATCAGACTAGAAAGTAGGCTTGTCTGTTTATAATTAACTGCATGTCTTTGTAATAGGTTATTTTGTAGTCTGATTATCTGATATTTTATAGCATAATTGCAGTTCTTACTTTGCTGATACTTAAAGGAAATAAGTTTTAAGTAGAGAAGTTGAAAATTTTTGAGACTCGGTTTCTGTGACAACACTGTATTTACTTTTAAAGGTACTTAGTGAATTTAAGATACTTAAATGGAAGCTTTGATATTTAGAATTCAAAATTACTGTACAAACCCCAAAGTGGAATAGTGGCTGTTGAAGCAATAAGTTTGTGGCTTTTGTAGAGCAAAAAGAAATTTGAGAGAGAATGCAGAGAGGCAGAGAAGGCCCAGCAGAGCTACGAAAGACTGGACAATGACACTAACGCGACAAAGGCTGATGTTGAGAAGGTATTTTCTCTTTATTATAAAAAACATTTTATTTGCATGTTTATTATCAGTACTGATGTATTTCAATTATGGATGTTAGTTTCGATGACTTGTGATTAGTGTTTTTGCATAGTTGGTAAAATAAATTAAAATAATGCTGTATGTCCTTGTAAAGCACAAGACATGTTTGAACTGGTAACACTTTCCTACTAGGCTAAGCAACAGTTAAACCTGCGCACGCACATGGCTGATGAAAACAAGAATGAATATGCTGCACAACTACAGAATTTTAATGGAGAACAGCACAAACACTACTACATTGTCATCCCTCAGATTTATAAGGTAAAATAATTAACAGAGAAACTATGTCTGATACTTTTTTAAGGGAGAAGTAGATTTTAAAATGTAAAACTTTATTTTGAGGATTTTAGTGGATAATTTTATTAAAAAATTAGCATAGTCTTGATAAGCTGCATTTCATCATGAGACTTACTACTTAGAGTAATTATGCTTAGATTTGTGATGAAAATATTCTGTTGCATTTTCTATGAAGATTTTGTATTTTATAGACTGTTTAAATATTGCGAAGAGGTATGGCAAAATAAACATTTGAGACATCTGGGTGAGAGCAAACATTTTAAACAATCACTCTGATAAGGTTTGTTCACTCGTTCTCTTGGTGTCTGTGTGCGTGTGTGAATGCTCTGACTCTGGCAGAGGTGAAGGAAAGTGTATCGCTAACGGTGACTGTGGCTTAACATAGCTCATGCACCAGTATAAAATGGGTGTATTGGAGGCGGAAGTACTCCCCCCCCAAACTGGTCATTGCTTCATCAATATTACCAGCAATCCACAGAACTCTCTACAATAATAAAAGAAACTAAAGGTCAAATTAGATGAATACTAGTTTAAAGTAAAGTTGTTGGGGGGAAGAGTTCAGATGTTCAGCTGTTGGGGAGAATACTGCGACTGCAGAAGCTGATAGAGTGAGGAAATTAAAAGTGAAAATACTGACTTTTTTTGAAGGTGTACCAACTTAAGAATGCTTGATATTTTCCAGAAGCACAAGGGAGTTCATATTTTTAAAAAATACTTATTAGAGGCTCTGGAATTCACAAGAGAAAATTACCTTGGCTTATTAAAGAATTTTCTAGTATTTTAACTGTTCAGCAGCACTACAGTAGATCCAACGCTGGCGCACCGATGGAGGTATTGCAGTCAGCTCCCAGGAGAAACAGCTTGATCATCTTTGTTTGTAGCTTGGACCAGAGTTTTGGTTTATTGCTTTTATTTCTCTAGGGTTAAAATCCATTATCGTTGTCAGATATTACTTAGTTTTTTGAAATCTGCAGTAAGAGCAGAAAGGCCTAGTCCTGCTTTCTCTTGGGACTACATTTTAATTATTTCCTTGCAAGTATTTGGTAACATTCTATGGGAAAAACTTGGGAGAGGGATTTAGCATGACCAGGTTGTTGCTTTGTTTCGGGGAGATGAAATGGGATGCTGTTGGAGACATCTGCCTTAGTTAGAGCAGATACAGGAAAGATCCAACTTCTTACCCTGTTTTTGACAACCTATTGATATATGTACTATTGCTTTTTGTTTTCTTTTGGGTTTTTTTCCAACCTTCAGTTAGCTGAAAGGTCCAGGGCTATTACCTTAATAGTATTTCTCTTTAATTTGTTGGTTTTGTTGTGTTCCAGTAGATTTTTATTACAAATCTTATGTAATGGTATTCTTTTCTTTATTTTCTTGCACACTTCTAAAGGAAATGGTTTGTATTTCAAATCAGAGAGCATGTCTAAACAGCATATAATTTTAATATTTCTAATTCTTCCTATTTTTTTAATCATTGTTATTTACTGCAAAGTATAAAAATAAAAGCAAGAAACATTTATCACTGGAGAGAAATTATTTGGAACTAGGAGAGAGTGAGGAGATGTAGAAATTAATAGGATTTCTTTACTGTAGTTTTCATTTTTGCATGAAACAAATATTTTAAACTCAGTAGGTGGCTGTAGACACTGTACATGTGCTTTAAAAAAGAATAAGGAAAAGAAAATTTAAGTGCTTTATAGAATCTTTAAAAATCAAAGAGTATCAGCTCTTATCAACTGTTCTGGGCATCTTAAGTTTATGTCTGAAAGAACTTGATTTTTTAAATTAAGTTCTGTTTTGTTAAGCAGATAAAAATACTGGGACAGCCCAGAAATTCCCTACCACACTGTAGTGACCACAGTAACTGCGTACGTCACGATCAGGGAAAAAAATCAGCAAATAAAAGCTTTATTTTATCTTATTTTGTGCTTGCAGCAACTTCAAGAAATGGATGAAAGAAGGACTGTCAAACTCAGTGAATGTTACAAAGGCTTTGCTGACTCTGAGCGCAAGGTTATTCCAATTATCTCTAAATGTTTAGAAGGGATGATCCTTGCAGCAAAATCGGTTGATGAACATAGAGTAAGTAGAATTGAACAACTTTTTAAATGTGCATGAGCAATTTAAGTGATGGGGAAGCTGTGGAGAGGGGAAAGACGGACTTACCCTGTACATTTATCTTTCTGTTGTCAAATGTTTGTCTGCTTGAGAAGCGTTGTGACTCCAGTCTTAGCCTCAATGGTTACTTCCACTTTCAGTGTCTGTTCTGCTGCTTTGTTGTGATCTGAAGATCTTTGACACTTTCTCCCTGTATGTGGTTTTGGACACGTTGTTTCAGTTATCCTGAAACATGCTACAATACCGACAGGGTTGGTATTTTCTCCAGTATGTAGCATTAAATCATATAAAGGGTGTTCAGGTAACAAAGTATAACCCTGTGTCCTGTGTGATTGCAGCTGTTGGCACTTCTTTCTAACTCCTCCTAATACGGGTTCTTCCCTGTTACAGCTTACTGCCTCTAGTTCCTTAGCGCTGTCTTCATTTCAGTACTAATGTTGAAGGATTAGAAGGTGGGGTAATAGTTTGTCCCTAAAACGTGTCCTATTTTAAATTTGTGATAACCCTTGGGGAGTGTTTTCTGGGTTCTGACTAGCAGGGTGTGCTTTGTTTTGCACTCACGGTAACGCTGCTGAGAAAAAAGAACATGTGTTGTTGTAACTTGCTCTGTCCAGGAGCGTGCGTTTGCAGCGCTCTGGCTTTCCCACCTGCGCATCTCTGCAATTCAAGGGAAAATTTACATGTCCATGTTTTTCTCTCTCTGGTTCTTGATGGGTTTGCTTCTTTTGCTTTTTAAACTCCTTAATGTCCTGTGTTTAGGACTCTCAACTAGTGATAGACTGCTTCAAATCCGGTTTTGAACCTCCTGGAGATTTTCCATTTGAAGATTACAGTCAGAATATTTACAGAACTATCTCTGATGGAACCATCAGTACACCAAAGCAGGAAGGAATGAGAATTGATTCAAAAACTACAGTGGGCAAGGCTAAAGGAAAGCTGTGGCTATTTGGAAAGAAGCCAAAGGTAACAATTTAGAAATTACTATTCAGAAAATTAAAATGTGAAGATCTAGAGTGCATGGAAGCAGCAACTTATTTATTTTAAAATAACCTTCCCCTTGCCTGCCGCTGTCTTAAAATATGTGTAAGGAGATCTGAAAGTTTGAGTAGGGTTGGATACTTTCCATATTAGAAGTCAGGTTCTCACTGGGGCAAAATTTTGCAGTTTTTCTTCTAGTGATTTGTGTCTGAGAATGTTTTTAGTAGTTATTTGATAAAAGTAATTTCCCATTTCTGGAACATTTCTAAGTTTACATAACAACTTTTTTTAGTTGCATAGAAAAAGTGTCAATTGTGAATGTAAAAATAAGGGGAGGGGGAGCGTACTTTGTAACCTGGCAGACTTCAGATCTCTTTTATACTACAAAAAGCTACTCCCTTCTAAATGTCACGTTTTGTAGATGTTTATATATAGGAGTGTTACATAGATTTTTATTACACATGCTGCTAGTTTTGAAAACTTCTGTGGTTTGTCTGAAAACATTAACATTTGTAATACCTCACTGATAAAACCTACTGTTGAAGCTCCATACACGTAAATGTCCCAGAAGAAATAGTGCTGTGAAATAGATAAAAATATTCCTATGCTCAAGAACAAAACTGAAAGCAGAGAAGTTACTCCTTTCTTGCATTATTATATGAGTTTCAATTAACACTTTCTGTGCAAGATGGATCTCCTGATAAGTATCTTATTGGATCATTAAGTTGATCTTAATGGATCAACAAAAAAGATTTATCAGTGCATTAGCTATATAAATTAATAATGAAGTGGATATATATTTCAGTTTTATGCTCAATCTTTATTTAGTAGTGCAGCATACCAGTGAGTCATTTTAATGATTCCCACAAATTTCTATGAGGTTATTTAATGCTCCAAGTCAGTTTCTGCCATTTATCGTAGGAAATTATTCTTAAGAGCTTGTTAGTGGTAGGATTTATTTTCCACTTGATAGTATTCCAAGAAAGCAGATCTTCACAGAAAGAGAGGATGTAGCTGATTCTTTATTCCCTCCTCAGTATATTATGTAACTGTAGCTGTGTGTTAAAATGAAAACTGATTTGTTTACTTTTCATGCAGTATAATTAATGATTGATAATAGTTTACATGCATTAATGTATTAGCATATTTATTGAATTTGGCTGCAGAGGTGGGTGAGATTCAGCATGCTCTGAAATTAGATCATGATTACCAGTTTGACAAGATCCCTTTCTGAGAATTTTGGAGAGGGAAGCTAAGAAAATCTCTCTGGTTTTCAGTCTGGACCTTGGCATTTACTGTAGTTACAAGAAATTCCTTGGTGTGATGAGAGCTGAGAAAGCTCCCTCACTCTTTCTTCGCCCCAGTTCGTTCACTTTGTAAGTAGCATTTGGAGAGTCAGCGTTACTGTTTCCTGTAGGAATCACAGGTACACCTGCGGGTACAGATCCTGCATGTATCTCTTCCTTAGGGACCTGGAGGAACGGGTGTCTGCAGAACAGCAGCTGGGAGCAAAATACTTATCAGGAGATACATATTCAATTCCAAATACTATTTACAGGTTTTAAAAGATATTCTTAAATGAGCTAATATGAAAATATGGTGATTTATTGTAGCTGGGGTATTCATGGTGGCCTTTGGGCCTTCATTAGCTGAAACTATGGCTCGTCTTGACTGCCTGATACGCATTTACCTGTTTTTGATGTTGTCAAAGGCATAAAAGTCTTTTGGAAAGGGAATGAGTTGTGCAGCAGAGGAAATGGTACAGAAAAATCGAACTGGGAAAAAGCAGAGGTACAAGAGACAAAAAATGAGAGAAGCCATTTGAAAAAAGAGGAGGAAGAAAGTGGAGGAAGTTCTCGTGTTATTAAGAATGCCACACAGCCACTGTGTCAGTCGAGCTTGACTACAGAGATTGAGGAGACTTCTTTTTGTCATACTCCGTAGATGTGTGTAATATTTCTGTTTTAGCTTTCCTGGTAGGGGGCATCAAAATGTAGGGTGAAACAGTGAGCAGGACTGCAGAGGCTTCCCGGCTGGCTGTAACTGAAGCTGAGAAAAGCAGAACTTCCTGTTTTAAGAAAAGAGACAGACGACTTTGAGATCTTGTTAGGGTCTTGTGGAAGCGCTGAGTCTAAAGCGTTTTTTAATATTCCTTCATTCTTTGCACCAGCCTGTAACTCTGAAGATTAGTTCCTGGCAGAAACCTTGTAAAACCAATACAGTTATAGTGTAAATGTGCCTGGAATGTTACAAGCTGTTTCTGTGTTGGATGGAAATTTTATTTTTGTAAGACAATTTTCATTTTAAAATCACTTTGAACATTTGGCTTATTTATTGCTTTCTTTATTTCCACATTAGCCACAATCCCCACCCCTAACCCCTACTAGTTTGTACACATCCAGTACTCCTAATGGGTCCCAGTATCCCATATTCTCCATTGAACCAGTGCATTATTGCATGAGTGACATAAAAACAGGGAAGCCCAGAATTCCTTCTTTCAGAAGCCTCAAAAGAGGGGTAAGTTTGATAACAAGTTGAAATGCATGATGGGCTATGAATAGTGTGTTTGTGATGTGGCTTTCTAATGCTCTTCACCCTCATTATAAGGCTTAGTTCATTAAGTAACACGTCAGCTATAAGGCTCGCAGTTAGGATACTTTGTTTCATATTATACAGAATTTACCAACAGGTTACAAATAAAATAAAATAGAGATACTCTATCGCACTCCAAGTGCTTGTGTCTAAAAGAAAGGTGTTATAAAGAGGGTGCTCAGCATGTTTGATACCTTTCTTCATTGTTGTGCACATTCACAAATGTTTTCCTACCATCATGTAACATATTTTTGCAGTAATCTATCATTGGGTATACAGTCGCCACAAAAACCATCTGACAGGTCAGATGTCTTATTAGCTGACTTTTTAATTGAAATAATAGTAGTTGATTACAAGACACTGAACTAAGAAGGGATAAATTGCATTTATTTTGTACGTCAAATGCTATAGCACATGGTGCTTGCAGATTTTGAAATACTGATTTTTGAAGCATTACAATTTTAATGCATTTTCTGATTAATAAATTGTTCTTGTTTGTCCAAGGTTCTTCTTTTGGATAAAATTATTGAAAAATTACTACTAAATGCCACCTTTGGAGATTTATCAATTAATTTACTAATTATAGTGGCAAATTCAGCAAACAATTTGTTTGGAAGACAAAAAAAGGGAAATGTTAAGTGGTTTCCTAGCAACATGTATAGTGCTAGCGATAAATGTGCTGGTGTTTTTCTGTTATGTCAGCGAAGCACAGGCTGCCCAGTTTATGTATGTTTTATGATATTTATTGATCCAAATACTGAGATAATTAGTTGCATCTGATTATATATAATTCATTATTTTCTGATATTTGAAAGCAATATTGACTTGCTGTCTGTTGTTCATCAAGAATGGTTGACCACTGTTGACATCATGAGGAGATCAAAGTACGACAGTGGTATATATTGCAGTAAAGTTAATAATTTAGAGGCCCCCTTGCTGTCGTTCTGAAATACAGTGAGTTACACTTAAAACTTATTTTCTTTAAGTCATGCTATGGCATTTTATTTCAGCACCCCAGATATCTTGGAAATACCCTTTCTACTACCACCATTTTTTTTAGAAAATTCTTGTGGTCTTCTAAGTATTTATGGAAGACAGTTTCTCCTTTTCCTTTCTGAGTCACTTTTCCTGGTCACGAAGATAATGTTCCTTCTTAAGTACTCAGTGAGGAACTAGCTGGATTAGATAGTTGTTGTAATGGCACAGGTCTTGATTACACCTCCTTTTTGCTGGTCACCAATGTGGTGACTCCTGGCTCACAAATTGACACCTTGTAATGTCAGTAGTTCTAGAACCTGTTACTGAAGCAAAAGAGCATCTTTCTAACAACTGCAGAATGCTAATGGAAAATGAAATAGTATTTTTTTTATTCTTACAATTCATTGTTCATGTTGTAAAAGTGAATTAATTTAATTTAGAATAGTATTATGTAAAATTAGCAAGGATCGCTAGTATCCTACAAATCTGGATTAACTCAAATATTCCACGAGATCAGATAGTTAATATCTGTCAGTCTTCAGGATGAACATTTGATTTTATAAAATTTGAAATTACTTGCAAGCATTTTAAGACATCAGTATTATCACATACTGAGTGCCTTTACAAATTAAATGCATACTGTAATTCTAATAGATTTTTTTTTTTAATCTTACTGATCAGTCTTACCCTTATTCTGTATCTTGATTCAGTGCTTAATAGTCGCTAGTACATGATACTGTTTTCCACAGTTTTGTCCCTGGAAAGTGATGTCCAAGTGGTACTGACACACAGAACTACCAAATAGTATTTGATTCGCTTCTGCTTCTACCGAGGTTTCTCTCTGAGCTGGTTATTTTGTTGAATGTGCCCTGTACAGGGTTTCAGCCAAGGCACTGGAGATCACAAAACCAGGCTGCCTCATTCTGTGCTGCATGCGTTGGATTTTCCTGTCATGATGCACAGCGCAAGCAGCAAACTGTACCTGTAGAATAGGTTATTGAAGAAAGTCTTTGAAGTGTAAGCAAGTGTAACTTGCTTTATTAGTACTGTTGGTACATGCTGTTTATTATCCTCTGAGATCTTAAAATTTCCAGGTAGCATTAGTGTTTACGAGAGGTCTTTGCTCAATGCCACTTGACATATATATATATATAGATACATTGTCAACAGTGATATGTAAACCTCACTTGTGTTTTCTTGGAAGACTTTTTCTAAAGGGAGCAAGAAATTTATTCTATTGCCATTTTACATCTTAGGATTTTACTGAGGTTTCTGACAGAGTATCATTTGTGAAGGTGCTTTAACCTCCTCATTGCTACAGATTCTAATTTTGTGTGTGTGCCCCAGTCAACAGCCTTCACAACTAAGGGTCATAAATGATGTCGGAGAAACGCATCTTCTGCGTTGCTTGGTGTTCCCATGGAAAGGGTTATCCAAAGCCATTGGCAGCATGGTAGATCTTCAAAATGCTGTGAATGTTAAACCCAAGATACGACACCTGGTGTCCCCTGGTTTTGCTTTCTCTAAGGATAAAGTCTTTACTCTTTAAATGTCTTTATTTTTATCTGGACTAAACCATTTCTAGGATAGCAGCAATGACCCAAATGCTGTTTTCAGAAAGTAAAACTACTAAGCTTGAAAAATACCTTTGTTTATTGTTCTGCTGTGGTAATAAAGTAAATACATCGTAAAAATTATATTTGTAAAAGTGACGGTAGTGGATTGTTAGCTGTAATTAACATATTATTTGCATATGGCTGACCAGTCCTTCATCATCATCAAATTCTGCTATTTTGTGCAGTGTTGGCTGTGTGTTTGTTTCTTCTCCTACAACAGTAGTTCTTTAACGTACTATTGAAAACACTAAAATTCAAAAGTAGTTTAATGAAGTTGTGTATTAGAATTTCATAAGTTAAACTACCCATCATTATCACCTAGCAATTTTTTAAATCAGTAATTCTTAAATCAAAGTGCATTTCTGATTATTGTATTTTGCTTTTCTTGTGCTCATAGTAAAATGTACTTTTTAATAGATTAAATTTTTAACCCTGAAGTAATACTTTAAAGACACATTTTTAGGCATAAATCATTTTCGTAACTGGTCATTGGCATGTGAATAATTTCCCGTTTCTTTCTGTTTTCAATTGAACTGTGCAGTGGTCGGTGAAGATGGTAAGCCCGTGTGCTAATCTGTCTGCTGTACTTCTGCTAAGATAGCATGAAAGTAATCTTTTGAAAGTGTTTCCATATCATAACTGCTTTAAATCAGGTGCTGAAACACATCTTCAGATTTTCCACTCATATACACAGTCTTCTTAATCATCCATGCTTAATGTAAGATAATTAGACTTGTGATCTGGCTGCAACTAAATCTGTAATTTTGGAATTTTAGGGTTGACCAGTACTTATGACTTGGTCATGATGGAAATACTTGGTGATTTCTTTGTCTGGAAAATTGTTAAAGCAGCATAAAATAGGTATATGAAAAGATTACAAAACTTTTGTAAAGGAGCAATATTGAATACTGCAAAATTGACTTCTTTGAATTTAACCAAAACATGGCAGGGGAGGTAATCCTTCATGCTTAGGAATATTAGAAATCTTTTATATTAAAAGAAAACCACACCTTAATCAATGTTGTTGTTTTGCAGAGTAAATCAGTAAAACCCCACAGAAAGACTTCTGTTCTTCTGATTATTGCTGTAGGATACTGTGGTTTTAACTGACCTGTAAGGAAGGATGATACAGAGGATGTGATGTGTCTTTTTGTTTCTTTGTGGTGTGTAAAAACATCTGAAAAGATTTTAATTGAGTTTTTTTCCTCCTGAAAGAAACACTTCTGCTTTATTTTGAAAACATCGTATCTTGATTTCCCCTCTTTTATGATGTCTTATATTCCCTTCTTAAAAAGCAGTGAGATTATAATTGTACAAGTGCAAAAGAACCAAGAAGTTGAGGGGCAAGAAGATATTAGGAGTATTAGAAACTTCGCACCTGAGCCTAAGGCTGCTTGTGTCAAAATCTCGACACTCGAGTTTCTGTCAAGTTTCTTCTTGACAACAGAAACGCTGTCCCGTTTGGTTTGCCTCCGTGGAGGGTTCCAGGAACGGCAAGCGGGTTTCTTGTGCTAAAACCAACTTTCTTAGGCAACATGAATATGACATGAATACTGTAATTTATGTTATTAAGATGGGTACCGTATTTCCTTCTTACCACTGTTGGTGTCTGTCACCCTCAGGGGAAGAGTTTTCACAACAAACTCACAGGACACACAAGATCTCTTCTATGCTTTTCACAGCCCAGTCCTTCCATCCTGTTTATAATCTTGGCGCAATATGCAATCAAACCTTTGCAGGTTTGGGCTCAAAACAATAGGTGGTCTTAAGTTTTTTTTTTAAAATTTGGTAAGTAGGAGGTTTCTTTTCCCCCTGAAACATTATTTTTTATAATGAAAAAGGTGACTTGGAATATTTGAGCAAGTTTTGGTTCAGATTAACAAATTCAAGTAAAAATCTTTATGTTATAAAGGCTTTTTCTGTGCTCTATGAGGTAGTTTTACTTGAGGTAAATGCATCAGAATTTTGTAAGTTTTCTTATGTTTTCTAGCAAGATTGCTCAACTTCCAGAAGAAAACTATAATAATGCTATCCAAAATACAGTATTTTTATTTTGATAGCATTGAAATCACTGTACAACACACACCCTCCAGAGAAAGAATCAATTTTATACATGTTATTATTAGACACACGTCTTAGATTTTTGTTCTGACTGAATTGATTCGGTAGTAATTAATTCTGCCCTTTCTCAATCTGACTGAAGTGCAGTGGATGTAATAGGAGGTACACAGCTCAGCTTTTCAGAAAAATAATTAAGTGTACAAATTTTGAATTACATCTGTGAGCTAGAAGGCAGAAAGAACCTTGAATGAAGGACTACGATCTGGCAGCAAGAAGGTGCAGTGACTCTGTTGCGGTCTTTTGTAGAGCTGTGAGTCAAGTAGAGTTTTTGAAAAGGTCCATCCTGCTTCCAGTGAACACTGTCCATGTGTGGGTATGTCCGGTCAGCTGCCCAGATATGTGCCTGTTGCTTGTTCAACAGTATTTCTGCTTTCAGGGCCCTGCACTAGAAGACTTCAGCCATCTCCCTCCAGAACAAAGACGCAAGAAACTGCAACAGAGAATCGATGAACTCAACAGAGAACTACAGAAGGAAACAGACCAGAAGTGAGTGCAGTTTTTTTGAGTTTTGTCACGGCTCTCTCTCTATGGCTGTTTCTTTTGAAGTCCTCCTAAGTCGGGAGCGCTCAGACGCTAGGAGAGAACATGCCAGTGCAGGCTATCAAAAGCATTTTTTGGTTAATGGTAATGCAGATTCTGTCAGCATTGCTTCCTTCTGTTTATACCCGTAAACATGATTTTAGCTTTAATGAATCGGTACCAATGTGTGTAATTTTTGTAATTAGTGTCAAGTTTTGTATGTTTTTAGAGATGCCCTCATCAAGATGAAGGATGTTTATGAAAAAAATCCCCAGATGGGTGATCCAGGCAGTTTGCAACCAAAATTAACTGAGACTATGAGCAACATGGACCGTCTTCGGATGGAAATACACAAGAATGAGGTTAGGCTCTAAAACAGTTCCAATTGGAAAATGTAAATGAGTGGTAAAATTGTACTTTGCCTTATGGATTATAAATATAGCACCCAGAAAAAGTACTTGATGTAAGAAAGTACTCCCGATACAATTTTTTTGTGAGGTGCCATATTTTTAGGTACGTTCATCTAGCTAGAAAGAGGTGTGTATTCATGATGTAAACTGTTTAGAAGAATTTCTTATTAATCATTTATTCTGAAATTCATACGTGATTAAAGATTTTTTTTTTCCATAAAATTAGTATGGAGTATAGACTGAGTATGAGGGATGGGTTCACGCTCCATGTGGAGTCATTACGAGACTTCACACGTGAATGCAAGTGTCTGTGTGGCTGTGTATTGACAAGTAAACTGTATGCAGTCAAGTGCATTTGTTAAATGGTATTTGCTGGTTTAGAGTGGAATTTTCTTTGACGCCAGTGTTTGTCTTCTTTCCCCAAGGCCTGGCTCTCTGAAGTTGAAGGTAAAGTAGCAGCCAGAAGCGACAGGCGGCACAGCAGTGATATCAACCACCTTGTAACACAGGGCAGAGAGAGGTCACTATTCTATCTCTACTGCTTTTATATCTTATGCTAGAATCAGTACATCCTGATAGTTAACAGCAGGTGATGGTTGTTACTTATTCTCTACGAGTTTATGTCCTTCTAAAGGAAAATCCTACTGGTTCTGCGTTTTAGAGGTTGCTTCATGTCACTATGGTAATATTAAAAAATAGTGAGTTTAATCAAAATACCTGCTCATTAAATAGCAGTGCCTGTTAAACCTATCCTATTCTACTGAATAAGGCTCACCAGTTTTCCACGTTTGGCAGAGACAGGTATATCAAATTTATGTTTTTGTAGCAGAATTCAGTCCAAGCTTTTGTTAGATCAATTTTTTCAGAAAATCCCCTCCAGCAGTAAATATAAAAACTAACAGGCATTTCCAGAGCCATACCCACGCTCTCCCCTTTCTGTGATGCATGTATGTCCTGAGTTTTAGAGCTAAGAATGCCTCAGAGTCCTCACGCTCCAATCATTGCGTTATAGCCCTGAAGGGAGTTACACAGATGACGCAAATCAGGAAGTTCGAGGCCCGCCACAGCAACATGCACATCCCAACGAGTTTGATGATGAGTTTGAAGATGATGATCCATTACCAGCTATAGGACATTGCAAGGCAATATATCCATTTGATGGTAAGGTTAACAATGTGCACTATGATTCCTTGACTATAAGGCATGGATTGTTTCAGAGAAGACAGGTAAAATGATTTTAAAAGTAAATTAACTGTATGAGCAACTAGTTGCTTATAAGAGCAGAGGAAATATTTTATAAATCACTTTAATTTGCGAGCAGTACTTTTGTGCTGTTTTAAGATAAATATTAGCACAGCTATTGGCAAATATTCAGCTTTACAGATTGGACTAGGTTTTTGTCTGTAAGCCTGTCTGACCATATGTTCTCTTGCACAGATCTTTGGTTCTTCCTGTTTATATATAATCTGGAAACTATGCCCTGGGAAAAAGATGACTTGAAATTCTGTCTGAACATTGAGACTTCTTTGCCTCTTGTTTTCCCAGGTCATAATGAAGGCACTCTAGCAATGAAAGAAGGGGAAATTTTGTACATTATTGAGGAGGACAAAGGAGATGGGTGGACAAGAGCTCGAAGACATAATGGAGAGGAAGGCTATGTGCCAACATCATATATAGATGTAACGCTAGAGAAAAACAGCAAAGGTGCAGTAACCTATATCTAACAGTAAACTGGCAGCTTTCAGTTGTACATTCCCCAGGGAAAATAGTAAGTTACACAGGTGCATGGAAAACATTAGAATATCGGAAGTCAGCAATGGTCTGTTTGCAATGTGAATTTGCTGTAGTTTTTCTTCAGAGATTTACCACGTTAACTTATGCATCTTGTACTGGTCTGTAATTTTGACCAAAGTCGTCTACTTTGTTTAACTGATCTAGTATTCCTGCTTTACAAAGCACTAAATCCAATTCCACTATTAAACTGAAAAGACCAGGATTCCTGCTTGTTCTGTAGAGTACTTTGTTTTTACAGAGAACTGAAAAATATACTTGGTTTGAAAGATATTGAAGAATTACTGTTCCCACTTTTATGACTTAAACTATATGCTTAAACCAGAGCATTTTCTCCTCTAATAACTAACTGAACTCAGTTACTGAAAATTGTTGATTTCCTTCCTTAGCAAATACTTGGCAGCTTTCACTTCTTAAACAGGAAAATGTTTTCTGATTCTGAAAGCTCAACAAAAACACTCAGGAAAAAACATTATGATTAAGAAGGACAGAAAGTCCACTGACCTGCCTCTCTCCTTCCTTTTCAGTACTTGTAATGTAGAATGTTGTGTATTGGACACAACTTCATTGTTTTAACTCTAGATACCTTGAACAAACAAAAAAAAAGACATCATGTGTAATGTTTGATGTCTTACTGACATCGTTACTTTGGCTCCTGAAAAGGGAATGATTTTATATTCTTAACCTGTGCCTGTAAACTGTCTTTGAACTGCATCATGTTTAGTTCGAAATTATGGCCTTAAATATACAGTAATTCCCCTCAGTGTTAAATCACTGAGGCTTGGAAACTGCATTGCACTACTGGATTACTAGGGGGGAAAAAAACCCGACTACTCTAAAAGCTGTGGCTCATATTTGTAATGAGAGTTTGTGGAGTTAAGTACAAGGCTAATGTACAGCCACTGAGAATGGCCTGTTAGAACTGAGCACGCTTCTCTGTCTTCTAAAGGCCTTCAGTAACTTTGTTCTTTTCTTTTTCCTCTTGGACTGCAGGTTCCTGAAGCGGGTTTCTGAGAAAATGGGCGAGATCTTGAAGGAGGTTACATGCAGCTGCTGGGGGGGGGGAGGGGGGGGGGGGTACTAGACTGGGAGGCCCAAGGGGAAAAGCTAGTTGCATGAATGCATGCAGACATACATTTAGTCACTAACATCTTAGCATCTCCATACATAGGTAAGGTGTATTACAAATTCAATCTGTGCAGGAAAATAGTTTTATTACCAGAGTAGAAAGGATACTGCTTCTAAAATTGCTTTATTTTCATTGTCCTAGGTTGTCCCTGACGCACAAACTATATTTTAGCTTGTGCCATGTTTTGGTTATCTCAATTAAGCTCTTTTCCAACTAATTTTAATTGGCAGTCATTTAGAACCATATGTCAGTTATCAGTCTGCCTGTGCCACCTCCATGCTCGCCGTTAACCTCCTCCTGCATGCCTAGGACAGTCAGGCATGTCTGCATAACACTTTGCCATCATTGCTTGTCTTATGTTGTAACAAATAATTTTGTTTAAATATCTTCAGCACTAGAGTTTCATCCCAGTATCCATGTATGCTGCTATAACTATACCACTGCAATCATCATTACATTCCAGTTTTTGGCATAACTGATAAGAGATCATAATGTATTTCTGTTGATTTGGGGAAATTATACATCTCAGCTCTAGCCTACAATGCAATCAAGAGAAACTCCTAGAACTGTGGTCCATCTTCAGCACTCCAGTAACCTGTTGTGAGCACGGAAAACCTAGAACAGCACCAGAGAGATTCACCACTGCAAGCTAATGACTGTTCTCGGAAGTCAACCACTTGCCATTCAAATGCTGCCTTAAACTAGAGTGCCTAAATCTGTTGTTTGCCAACACTACCACTTACAGTATCCCACAAAGGGCTTTGTGTCTCAGCTCTTCTCACAGTGCTGCAGCTGCTGAGGTAGCCACGGTAGGTGTTTTCTAGAGCTCTACTGGATACATGGTGCATCATGAATTTTATACATTGAAGCGTGTATCTCTTCATTTGACTTAGATATTTTTTAAAAATATTTTTATGGAAACTGTCTTTTAGTTTTTCACTATGAAGTTCCAATTTTAATTACTGCAGTGCTAGTCCATTTCCAGGTGATGCTTCATTGTATGGACCAGTTGAAATTTGAGTGATACTTCGTAATGATCTATGTGCACTTTTACTTGTAAACAATTGAAATTTGGATATGTTTATACGTGTAAATATAGTTGTCTGCAGTGCCCCTATTGCTTATGTTGTCTTGGCTCCCATGTGTGGTTCTATTAATACATACATCATATCTGATTTATTAGGGTGATAAGAATTAGACTAGAGATGTTGAGGGGAGGGATACTTGTATCAAAGCAAGCTTGTCAACCCAGCCACCTGCTGTTTGGGGAAATGAAATAATCAAAACATCCTGGTTTTCTGGGGTCTGAAGCAATATTTGGATGCAGCAGTGCTGGATTCTTTTTAATTTCAGTGTTACTAGAACAGTACTACCCGTAAAACTGAATCTGAGTGACTTGTGTAGAGGTTTATTCCTTTTGTTATGTATACCACTATTACACAGCTTGACCTAGTGTATTATGGGGGCTATTACACTCTAAAGTTTAGACTTTTTGGAGCTTGTATACAGGGTTATTTATATAATAATGTGACATTACTCAATACTGACAAAACTACTTAGGTAGTTTTTTGGGTTTGGGGTTTTTTGGGGGGTTTGTTGGGTGGGGTGTGGTTGGGGTTTTTGTTTTGTTTTAAATCTAGTGCTTTTTTATTTTAAAGTTAGAGAAAAGGAGGAAATGTGATCTGTGTATTTTCTGCTAAAGGGCCTGTGGTTTGCCTGGCTAACAGCCTTGCAGGTCAGTTCTAACACTTCCTGGTAAAGAACTAAATGTTCTTTTCACGCTACTGTTTGTTTTTCTAAAACCAGGATTTGCTTCCTTTGGGGAGGCAGGTTGCTGTCATGAGGGATAGTGCAACTTGTATGAGGGTTATTAAACATAGGAAAAAAACATTTGTACTTGCACAGCTAGTTATAAATCACTTACTCGAAAATTCTGAATGTGACTTGTCTTAAAGAATCTTACATTTTTCCAGTAATTTTTAATCCTTTTTTGTGCACATGTTGATTTCCTAAATGTTAATTGCTTTGTTTAAAAATAGTGTTCTCTGTTGAGAATATTTTCATGGAATAAAAAAATCTTTTCATGGTCTAAGTAATTAGTTTCCCCATTTGTCTTCTGTTACAATTGACAGGGAGTCTTTCAGCATGAGGCCTGTAACCTCTTTTTAGGTGGTAGAACCTCTGCTATGATTGTAGATGGGAGGACCAGATAATACCAGTTTTGGTGTTGTTTTTGTTTTTAGCCTACTCAAATACTCTCACTCCAGAAATAGGCTTACTGACAATGAGCACATGCAGCTGTAACCATCGTTATTGCTTAATTATTTATACAACTTCTGAGGATAAGGCTTATACACCAATTCTGTATGTGACAAAGTAGAATTTGCTGCTAAAGCACTCTTTATATAAACAGCATGCATGCTGATTTCCTACAAAAAGTGCTAACAGCTCCTGCTTTGCTTTCATCCAAAGAAAAAAGCAAAAACTACTTACCAAAGTGATTCATCTCAGTAAATGAAGCAAGTTTAATATATACATACACCCACATTTACTCATATCTGAAAGCATTTTAATTATCTGGATTGTTTGTTCTTGCCATTTCATCATTCATTCCTGGCTGCATACTAGTTGTGCAGGCTCTAGCAAAAGCCAAAGTACTACAACTGCTGTCTTGTAAGTTGTCCCCAGCACATACACAGCTCGTTTTCTCATTTTCTCATTTTCTGCTTTCATAGGTGCAATGATATTTGAGCCTTCTGTTGTGGTCACAAATAAAGGATCATTTCTGTACCCTGCAGAATTTCTGTGATCTGCAAATATGCAAATAATTTTGCATAAAGATACACTTTAAATCACAATTCTATGTACAGTGTTTTATATTCATTAAAGGAATATCATACAACAGATTTTCTGCAATGTCACATACTTAATCTGTCATTTTATTTACACTATTTGCATCATTTTAATATTAAGATGCCAATGCCCTGACTCCTAGGCATTACCAAAACATTGCAACTCTGGGGAAATAGAGAAAGCTCCAAGACTATCTTACAGGGATATCCTAACTGTTCAAAGGGACCATTAAATGACTTGGTGACACAAATAAATAATTTGTTTAGAAATCAGTAGTTTTAAAACAAGTGTGCATTGTGCAGTTAAAAGTTCTAAACATCTTGTGAAATGCAAGACATTTGTGCAGTATCAAATTGACAAAAGGAAGCTAAGGTTATTTCAAGTATATAATTTAAATAGTATTTGCAGAGTCTTATATACTTAATTGTTCCACCTGCTTCACTGGAGGAGGTTCCAGTTTTCGGGAAAGTGCAGTTAAAATCTGGCTGAATTTCTCGTATCTTTCATTTTGATTAACTTGTGCTCCTTTGCTGCCCCAGAGCAATCTCATTTGAAATTCTGTCTTGAAGATTTCACTCATCTCTTCATCTGGCTGGAAACCTAGTAAATAAAAAAGAATCCCACAATATCACCATCAGACAAGTTTTTTTATTCAGAAGAAATGGATTTTAAACTGCATTTCCTCCAAATAAGATAAGCTTTAGTGTGCTGGGTTCCTTTTGCACAATAATTTTAACAAGCTACCAAAACAATGCAAATCCTTTTCATCGCTGTAGCAGACAAGTGGTTCTAGGGACACTGGGACAGGCTCTGCTTTGCTCAATTCTAATGGTCTAGAATTGTCATTATAGCCTGACCTTAAATATAATTCTGATGTATATGTGCTGCCTGCAGAAATACCTAAAATTTCCCCCCCCCGCCTTACATTTTTCACTCAGGTTTAAAATATAAAGTCACACTATTATTAGCATGTTGCTGCTTTCTGTCTGCAAGCAGGCAGGATCTTGGTGTTGCATTTTTGCGCTACTATGAAGAATCTTAGTATGATGGGTGGTGTTTTATTCACAAAACTCAGAGCGGGAATTTTAAATTGTACAGAAGACAGGAAGTATCCTCAGTCCTTACTTGCACTTCTGTTCTGTTCCTAGAAAGGTGAGCACACTGAGGCATGAGAACTTTGAGTATGTTTAGTGAAAATGTATGCTGTGTTGCTTATGGGAGAATAGTGATGAATAATTTACTGTCTGCTTTTAAACAATATTGATGCTGTCCTCAGACAGTTTCCTGCAGGACATGTGCTACTATCTCAGCTCCCATGAAAGGGGAGAAGAATTTCTTGCACTGACTTTTAAGGGCATTTAGGCAGAGACCTTATTCTTCAGACATAACCCACACGTTCTGTTAACATACAGCAATTTCTCCTACTAGTGCTCCCTACCTTCCAGCATCCGTTCTGCAGTCAGGCTGTACGTTTCTGCGTGCTGTGCTATCTGACGAGCTGTGGCCAAGTGCTTGAGCATTATTTCGCAGCTTTGGTCACTGCTTTCCCACAGGTCCATGCCTTCAAACACAACAGCTTGTCGCTCCATCAAGGTAATGAGAGGCATCAGCAGTGGCACCGTTACGTTGTTCTGTGGAGCACTGACAGTCTCTGGGATGCAGAGTAACAAACAAATCGTATCATCAGACATTATAAAACCTGCTACTTGAAGAAGGTATTGTAACTGCAGTATTCTTTTCAAAGTTGGAAACTACTGTTTGTCTTCCATCTTTCAAATTGGCACCTTACCTCAGATACACCTGTCCTACCAGTTTCCAGTGAACTGGCTGAGGGAGAAGGCCAAGACAGATTAGCGTTGGAAAACTATTTGCTATAGGAGAAGGCTCCACTGAATCACTAGACAGTGGCACAGAGATTTTAAACACATTTAAAATCTGGGTCATTCCAATAAATTCTGTGAGGCTAAAAAAGTTTTCCTTCACTACCTGTTCTCTTAGAGAAATGTTCAGAGAAATGTTACCTCCCCCTTGCCACCCCTTTGGAGACTTCAGCTGCAAAGAATCTGATGCAGGAGCACATAATGTGATCAGAGGAATTACCTGACTAACCCATCCTTTGTTTTTGAGGATTCGTCCTCTGATCCAACAGGCAAAGCAAATAAAAAGCACAATCTGACAAAGTAATTTTCCTCTGAGAAAGGAGATTCCCCCCCCCCGCCCCTGTTTTTGAGGCAAGATGATGCAGAGTGTTTCAGTTTCTGCGCCACAAAGATGGAGTGTGGGTTTGGGCAGAATGTTGTATTCTGCATGGGTACATGCACACAAGCACCTACTGAGGTTTGGTTGGCAGCCTATGTCATTGTCTTATATTGCATTATTCAAGTTCACACAGTCAGCTAGCAAAACAGCAGCTGCCTCATCTCCGTACACAGGAAATCAGTAGCGGAAGAGTTAAAAGGCTGAATAGAAACCAGAATCGCTTATACTCACTGGTCCACTCATATTGGCCTTCATGCAAAGCTTTGCTGAACGGTTTCAGCTGTTTTTCATACGTAATGGCAGTCTGGGTGTAATGATGTCTTAGAGAGGTCCAGGTTTGTTCTAACCTACTGACCTGTTCAAACAAGATGGAGAATACACATTACCAACTCCATAGCAGCTCACCCAAGTACACTGCTAGAGATGACGTTTCTGTTCTGATGATCTCACTAGTCTTGAAGAAATTACATAAATTACCTTAAATAAACCATCAAACAACTCCATGTTTTGGAACATAAACAGATTTTTTTTTTTTTTTACCTGTGGCATTTCCAGTGCTTTCATAATGGCAGAAAATGCATACAAATCCCCCAGCGAGTCCTTCAGCTCCACTGCAACTTGGATGATCCTGTTTAATGTTGCTGCTCTATCTTCTAGAGTTCCTGTGCAACCCAAGATATCCACAGCTATTCCAATTGCCATGGTATTGTGCCTGTAAAACAATTTATACTGGTTACAAATTATTAAATTAGTAATACATTATGCTGTACATGTGTTCAGAGAACAGTTCAAAGGTGTATTTCAGTATCTTGGTATGCCCAGCAAACTTGCTCTTACCAACATCTTTGTATCAAGAGCTGTAATGCCATTATATGGAATACATACATATTGGCTTTCAATTAGTGTTTTAATAAATTTAATACATTTTCTTAAGATATTTCTACTATACAAAATTCTGCTCAAGCAATGAATGAGTGAACACTTTTACTGGAAAACTGCCCCAGTTCCCTTTGTCCTCCACACTCAAATCTTGGGACCTTCTCCCTAAATTTCAGCAACGAAACTACTGAAATCTGAATCAGAGAAGCAGGAAAGCTACATCAGGGATAGAAGGTCCTAATTGTTCCCCCTTAACTTGTGCAGAGGTTTTACAGAAAGCTTTGCTGATTATTTTTTTACTGCACTAGATCCTCTAGCCTCTTCCCCAGTTGCAGAGGGCTGCTACTTTCAGTGTTTCCCACACTTATGCTCAGCTAGACTATAGGTCCCCTGAACTTGAGTTTACCTGAGCTCTTAAAGGAGAGCTGAGGGTGTCAGCAGCACTAAGGACACTGCTTTCAACACAATTCTCCCTTCCCTGTATTATGGAAATTTTCCTATGCAAAAATAAGTTCTATCCCATCTTACAGAATTATCTTCTGTATACATGAATTCAGAAAAGGTGCAGGAAAGCATTCTTTGAGGAAATGTAGAGCACAATGTAGCAGTGATCTGATCTTCTGGCCATCTGCCCTGGAAATGAGTAACAAAAACATTTACCTTTCAATTAGGTCAAGGCGCAGTTGATGTCCGTAAGGCAAGGTAATCAGTTCAAGACCAGAGTTCACTCCCATAATCCTCCTCATCTCTTCAGAAACTTCTAGTATCCTCGCCACCTGTCGAGTGCAAAAGAGTGGGAGTTTTGAAACTAACTTGCTTAAAAAAAAAAAACACACCAAAAACAAAACCAAAAAAACCTTGCCACACAGAAATCCTCCAGGTTATATATGCTAATTACAAGCAAAACAATGTTAATATGATAATATGAGATTATCTGCTGTTTTAAGGCCTAAGTTGAAACACTTACAAACCAATCTGCCTGCCATTTTCTGATACACCCATCAGCAGGCTTTCTTGGTTATGAAAAGATGAAAGCAATCTGGGCTGCACAAGCCCCGCTGATACAAAATCTAGCACTAGAGAAACTTGTTTCACTTCGAGAGATGCAGGAGTGATACGAAGCCCCTGGAGACACAGTGATCCTACTCCTTTATCACAAAACACGCTCTCACGCACGCAAGTCGCAGATAATCACTCCATCACTTACCATACGGGTGCTTCTTTCATTATTAGAAATGTCAATATTTAAAAGGCAAACTGTGCTACTGATGCCACAAGAAGACCTACAAACTTCAGCCTTATCACAGCTCTCAGTACAAAGCATTTTTCTGGCCCAGTTCACATGCCAGTCTCATTGTATCATGCAGTCCTTATCACTGAGTGCAGTAATATGCAACAAGTTACCAATGAATGACAGTCACTGGTTCTCAGCACTGCAAGATGAAGATAAAATAGACCTCCACATGTCCCAGCTAGTTAACTGTCCCTGCTCCAAAATCCAAAAATCTCTTTCCATAAAACACTCCAGTGACTGACTTAATTGTACAGGCTCCCATATTTCCATCAGGCCAGTTTCCTTAGCCCCATTCCAAAGTTTATAGGATTTAGAATAAGGAGATTAATAATGAGCTAATTG